TTCTCTGTGTTGTAGTTCTTTCTCTTCTATGACCAATAATCTTGACTCTTTCTTCTATTTCTTCCCTCTCTTCTAATTCTTTGTTATCGAAGTTTTGATTGTAAAACTCTTCCGCTTTATCTAGAGTATCCACTCTAATTCTCTTTTCTTGCTATCTAATCATTATCCCTTCTGGGATCAATCATCTAAAATTAATATTGTGTCTGGTCAGTTTGGATGTCAAGAATTGGTAGGGCCTTCTCAACTCTCTGATTCTTCTCAGTACTTGCTTGAGCACTATCATCTGTTTCCCCCTATATTCTAGTGGATCATCTCTCGTCCTGTGGAGAATCTCATCTTGGATTGACTTTTTAACGAATCTAACATGGATTTCTTTTGGTAAATTGTTCTGTCTTGTGTAATTTGTATGGATTCTATAAATTTCGTCCATTTCAATCAACATCTCCTCCTTGCCTATTCCAAGAGCCTTTGCTAGTAACTCTACCAACATCTCTGGTAAATCTTTTTCTTCTTTTATGTTCTAAAAGCATAGTGAGCTACTTTCTCAGATTCTAAAAATGTAACAGTAATTTCAAATTCTTTATTTGCTCAGGTTAATTTCTCAATTTATTTCTTCCACTCTTTTTCCTTCTTTCTCCATTCTTCCTTCCATCTCTTATAGCTTTTGCTCATTTCTCATGATCTGTTCTTGGAAGGTTTCCAATTTTCCATCCATCATTTGCATCTTTTCTTTAAGTTCGCTCGTATCACTTCTTACCTCCCCTATCTCCTCCTTCATTTCTTCTTTTTTTTTTAACATGGCTTTTTTTTTAACATGGTGATTGCAGCATCACTTGTAAATCTTTAAATGAATTGGACCTTTATAATTGCAATAATTATTCAATCTATATTTGACTATAGACGGGCTTGAGGTAGCCGAAGAAGTCTGTGCCACCTGTTTCCTCCCTGTCCCAATCTTAGATAAATTAGTAATATATAAAAATAGGCTGGTCATATTTAACAGCCTTTTAAACCAACACTCCCACTTCTTTTCCCACTACTATATCCTACTACTACTATTAAGTTATCCATTCTATCTCCAGTTTATCAAGTTTGTCTTGGTTTAGCTATCTTTGTTCTTTTATATTAATTTATTTAACCTTGACACATTATTATAGCAGTGGGGATAACATGTTAAATATAATAACAATCAAAGGGATGTTATATAATATTAAATGTTGGTATCTTAATGTAGGCACAGAGAAAAATATTAATACTAATCTTTAAAAGTTATCTATATCACAACATATATAACATAAATAACATAGACAATTCTATTTTTAATGATAGTAATTATATTACCAAAATACTAATAATACATATTCCCAATAATTAAGTGCTTTAGATATCCTTTCTCTCTCACTTCAGACATCGTACAAGTATCCTCTAATTAATATGGTCTATTTTATTGATGGTCTCCAAGAGTTTTTTCTTTCTTGATTTCACAAATGTCTTTTATCACTATATATTCCTTCCTCTTCTTCCTCTTTAACCACAACCACAACAAAGTCTTGTCACTCCTTCCAAAATACTTCCAAACAACAAAAATCCATAAACGCAGTAAATATTCTAAGGTGGTGTTTTAAGTTTCTTCAACTTTCCAGTTTCACATATGACTTTGTTCTTTACAGGCTGTCTTCTTCCCCACTTGATCTACCAGGATTTCTCCTGCCTTCGAGTTTCGACCGCTGTTTGAAACTCGCTCCGCAGATCACCATTCTCTTCCAGTTCCCCTCCAGGAAATCATGACCCCGAAGAGCCTATCGAGCGGCTGGGAAATGGCTGTGCTCATGGGAGAATAGTTTTGCACACCCGATCAGCTTGGCAGCTGGCCCCGCCTCCTCCAGCTTTGCTACTTCTGTAACCACTTTGGATTTAGTAAAGTATACTTTTGGATGAACAATGGGCCAGGAATCTTTCATTGCTAGATGACTGACTTGGGATGGTTGACACATTCCAATCAACATGGGAATTATTCATTCACCTCTGTAGTGATGAAAGAAGGACTAATCCATGGGGGCTATTATTTGGCCTAAAAAGCAAGAGAGACATGTACTAGCAAAAAATGCTTTCTAGATAATCCCAATCTGTAGCTTGGAAACCATATTCAAAAAGAGGAATATTTTTTGCTGAATTGTACTGAATTAATTTTGCATAAGTGAATTCTAGAATTCTACCATATTCATACTCAAAATCTGCCCCATATTCCTAAAGATACTATATGAGATAGACTAATAAAAGGCATAGAGATTATATATTCCTAAACTACTCCTGAAAGTTGGGAGCTCAGTCTGAATACTGAAATCCTCAAAAACAAAAGCTTCAGAGTGATCCAAGATAACTCAGACAGAGAAATTGCTCAGCAGTGTAGTGCATAGTATACCAATAAGGTGTTTGATCTATTCAACCTAATGTTGCGCCTCTCACATTTTAGAATCGGATAGGAAAGTGGAGTGTCCAACAAGGGTAGCAATACCACTCATACTATCTCTGTCTCAGACACAGAAATCTGAAACTTTGATGAAATGAATCCAGATGGCATTACCCATCTCCCCAACTATTCTAGACTTCAACCAATTTCCAAATAAGCGATAGATCTTATAATCCAAGCTCATCAAGCTGCAAAAATGTTAAAAAGAGCTACTCATTTCTGTTTACCCTACAAGATTCTGTTCTGCAGTCAAGAATAGCAAAGATTAAAGCAAAACTTCCCCATCCCCTGGATTCAGAACCATGAGACAACTACAATAATTTTTCAACTTACCTAGGACTTCCTTAAACTGACCATGACACTCACAAACTATCTATTTCTTCATCACATATATTCCAATAACAGCATAATTCATAATTAAGTCTTGCCTTCATCTTTATTAAAATTAAACACAATAAATTGTTTACAACTGTAATCCAAATGCCACTTCCTAGAAACAACTGTGCAACCCTGCCCTCATCTACATGTCTAGCCACAAATCAGTCTCTCTTTATTCTTGCCCTGCATACTTGGCACAATACTGTCCCACTCCCTTAATGTCTGACTCTTCTCTCTCTGACACATCTGTACACTGCACCCACATCAATGTAAGAGTATCTTCAGAAATCACACCAAACTAAAAACAGTCTGCTTTTTCAAGGGAGAAGGTTTTTTTTAATAAAGGCATAACAAAATTTTCTAACTTTTTAGCTCCAAACCTACATTTAAAAAGGAGTTACTAAGCATCAATATTACTAGAAGTCTTTAAAAAAATAAAGTGAGAAAGATAACTTAAGAAATAAATAAATAGTCTCATTGGAAGCTCTGTTCAATTTTTAAAGTATTGTTTTGTTCTGCAAAACAATATTGTATTATGAAGCATCTTATTTTCCCCCCCAAATCAACATATGTATGCTCTCTATTTAAAACTTCAGAAATTATAGAATGATTTTCACTACATTTTGTTTTTAATTTTGCCAGTTTCTGAAATTCTCAGACAATATGTATCTTTTAGTTAGACTAAAAAAATACAGTTAATATCAATCTGCAAGAAATGCATGTCTGATTCTTGGACACTGCCTGAACAAGTTTCTCTTGGCAAGAAGGTTTGCCACTGCCTTCCTCCTAAAGCTGAGGGAAAGTAACTAGCCCAAGATCAGCCAGCTAGATCTGTGCCCAAGGCAGGACTAGATCCTACAGTCTCTCTCTCTAGTTTTTAGCCTGTTTCTAGACTTATCTCTGAACCGAGTGTCAGCCCTGAAGCCATTTTTATGCTGAAGCCATTTTGGGAGCATCTTCAGAGCTGCCACAGCCAGGCCGGTTGGAGCTGTAAGAACGAAAGGGGGGGGGGAGATGGAGATAATTGGGGATGTGTAGCCAAAACAACATTCTTTCCCGTGAGAGCCAAGGACTTCCTACCAGGTGTTGGAGAGGCATAAACCAGCCACGATGGTGCTGCAAACCCTGACACCTAGCTCAGTTTCTAGCCTGATCCTTTAACCGCTAAACTGGTTTTTATATTGGCTTTTTCCTGTATCATATAAAGATGTAAATATCACTGCATTTCTTTTCAAAGGCATTTTGCAACTACAACTGCACAACTCATATCATTTTACCATATTCCCTAATGTTTTTAGGCCACAAAAGTCCACATTTTTAGGCCACGAAATTCCCAAATTCTTACCAGTTTACAAAATAGAAATAATAAACAATGAAAATATCCAAACAGAAATATCTATAAATTATTTAAAAAATATAGAAGAAAATTAAATAACAAAGCCAAACTACAACCCAGCCAAGATGGAATTGTGCCCAAAAAATCCTCTGGAAGAGCTCAGTGTTCAGCTGTTTCCAAAAGACACCACAAGGAAGCCAAACCAAAGAGCTGGTGTGGTCATAGAAAAGCAGTGCAACCAAGCCCTAAAGTGGGAACTCACTTAGCATTTATTTTTTTTGACTCCTGGCAAGTGCAATTTGGTTAGAAGTGGTTTGCCCTTAACTGCTTTCTAGGGCAGAGAGAGTGTGATCGGCTTAAGATCATCCAGCTGACTTTGTGCCTAAGAAGGGGCTAACACCCACCATATTCTGGTTTTTAGTCTGGTGCCTTAACCAATTACACCAACTGGCTCTCAAATAAAATTGGCCAACCTAGTTACATTGTAACTACTTTTCTTCCGAAATCTGTTTTTAGGTGGGAATTCTCATCACCAAATTTACTTCGTTACCTATCTGCTTATTATGATAAAACTGCAGGAATGGTTTCATTCTCAACTTACCAAATGGATTTTGGAATCAAACCTAGTCGAAAATTTGGGAGGACCTTTGAGTAAAAAATACAGATTGTAGCCTAAATATCCTACAAACTTGATGTTCTGTAGAAGTTCAATAAATTCTTCTGATCCTGATCCATTTTATTTCAGAATTTATAACTTTTTCCATTTAAAACAGAACATTGAAAATTTGAAAAAAAAAAATGCTACAAAAATCCTACCCCTATTTTTTTTTCTTTCCATTCTACTGTCTCTTGAAGATCAGTTATTTCCCTGACAAAACCCTCCTGTTTTTGTTGTAGTTGTCGGATTTCCTGAGATGCAAGAAAAAACAAGAAGATAGAAAGCAGAGAAGATAGTTAATGAGAAGGTGAACATTCAAGGCTGCAACATTCACAAAGAACAATTAAATAAAAGGATGCATGAAATGTCTACCTATACATTCAATGCATGGATTTACACCGAAATCTCAAAATATTTCAAGATAATATACAGTCCACAGACTTTCCAATTTCCCAATATCTAGAATATTCCTAACAGATAGCCAAACAGTACATAAGGCAAATATAAAAGATAAAAATAATTAAATTATCTATTGAAGAGCTCTTTCAATTTGGGACCCACTGTTTTGTCATGGAACATATCTGAACAATTATGTCTCTCTCCTATATGACAGCCCTTCACATAACTTAAAGACAGCTACATATCTCTCATTACTTTTTTCTTTTTGGACTAAATGTACCCAACATCTCAAAGTATTCCCAATAAGCTTAATTTTTGTCTTCCAGACCTCTTGACATCTTGCTTGTTCTCCTCTGAATATGTACTAGTTTGTTAACAGAACACAATATGCTAAGAAATTAATATATAATAGAGTCTAATCTAAGAAGAAACAAGAGGATCCACCAGGGACAAAGTATTTTAGCACTGTGATGTACCTACACAACAAAGATAAAACTATTTCCAAGATATTGTACAGCAGCAAAGAAATTGGAATATGCAGTCAAATTAGCAATCATTGAATTAATTACATTTATGAAATGAACCACACAATCAATTCAGCAAGAGGTGATCTTGCTGAAAAGTTTGGACATTTTATGTAACTGTAATGCTTTAAATGATAAATATTACCACTTTTTTGTAATTTTAAATATTTTAAATATAATTTTAATGTCTAGCATCCTAGACTATACTCATAGATGTTAGTTTTATATTTTAACTTTATCTTAAACTTTATTTTGATATTGTGTATCATGTAGCACTCTATTTATATTAGTCTATGACCGTAAGAAATTGAAACTGAAAATTGTAATGACTTCTCCTTTCTTTTCCAGATTTAAATAAGCACAATAGAGCTATTTGCCAGGAAATCTTTAGTTTGGCTTATTGCTCCGAGCGATCTATTGGATTTGATAGTCCAAACTGCTCATCTGATTCTATGGCATTTTTAGTAACGGTCTCTTCTTTACTGATCAGTTTACAGGAGGGATACACAATCTTTTTCACCTAGGGCCACTTTTTAAAATTTCTGCAATGAGACAATGAGTTCACTAGGTGGGAAAAGCCAAGATCAGCCTACTATTTAAATCATAACATTTCTTAAAGCCTTTGCAAAGCCTTTGAGGCCTTTGTGGTGATAAGAGCTGTGGTGGCACAGTTATTGGTGCAGTTAAAAGTGTTTTGCCAGTAAAACTGATGTGTTCACACAGACTCAGAGCATCCATTTTGATTTTTAAAGTACTAACAAAGTTGAAGAATATCACAAGGAAAAATTACTTTTGTCAGTGAATTTTACTCATGCAGTCTCAATATACTTGTTACTCATGGGTTGTGAGCAAAACGCCCTTATCTTCTTATATAATGACAAAAGTCTTATTTACCCACAGTTGTGTACTTACGGCAAGTAGTTCTTCTTTTTGTTTCAGAGCCTCTTTGAGTTCCGTGAATTGGAATTGCAATATAGAATGAGCATGTTTCTCTCTCTCAAAATCCTACAAAATGAGCATTTTATAATTAGGTAATATTGTTTTGCATCTGTACTCAAAATGCTTTTAATCAGACATGTTTTCCTTTTATTTAATCTAAGTCATGTATTTTACTAGATTTCTATTCTAGGCCACTCATGAATTTATGCCACTATACGTTCTAGTCTGTATCATAGCCTACACATAATCTTTTATGTAGTGAGGTCATACTCGCAGGATTTACCTGGATAAACAAACAGATAAAGGAATGGGAATGAATCACCTTTATATTCACTGCCATTTGTCAGAAATGGTATAGGGCCTCCCGCTTGGGCGGGGTTTGAACTACATTGCCTACAAGGTCCCTTCCAACTCTGATTATCTGTTATCTGTTATATTTAGTCAATAGTTCCGTCAATATTACCACAAATATAATATTCATGTGGAAAAAGAGCGTTTTAACAATTGCTGCCTAAAATCTAGACCTTTCATGGAGTGTTTTCTTCATCCATACAGCTGATAAAGGCAATATGAAGACTAATTACTACTTACTTTGCTTTTCTCTTCAAATTGCCTCTTAGATTCTGCAAGCTGCTCTTCTAGTTCCAATAATGCATCCTGTAGGGTTTCTACTTGGTACATAAAATTTGTTTTCTCATTATCCAATTGAGCATTTGAAACCATAGCTTTCTTATATTTTTCTTCAACTTCAGCTGAAGAGTCCTAAAGATAAAGAAAAACTCAAAGGAATGTTTTCAATTTATCAGGCCTAAATCTTATAGGTGATGTATCACAGGCAAGACAGACAAACTTTCTTGCAAAGTATGCTATTAAAAGTATTAAAATAGGGTACGTCACAAGGAACATGGCATTAAGACAAAACTGTACTTAAAACTTTTCTGAATGATTTCACAATTAACAAAACTAAATTAAGATCAGCATTTGTCACAAACTAATCATGCCAACTGAATTTCAAGGATATGTTAGTATATTAGACATTTAAAATACAACATAATTGAATTGAATGATTGAACAGTGAAGTATTCTTGAAGTTCACTTACATGTTTACCAATGCACTATTTTTATGACCTATCTTACGGAAATTGCTTATTCATTTTCAAAATATATTCATATTAAATATATATTTCAAAGGAGCAAAGATGCCAAACAAAAAAATTAATAATTGTTATGTTTTTGACACTGTTAAGTACTTCAGAATGTACACTGTGTGCACAATTATTAGGCAAGTTGTATTCTGGAAGATTAATTTTGTTATTGAACAACTATAGTGCTCTTGATCAATCCAAAATGTTAATAAACCTAAAATCTGAATATTTAAGAAAGTCAAAGTGAGGTTTTGGCTTTCTTAGGAGAATATCTATCTGTGCACAATTATTGGGCAACTATTAGTATGAAGAGTTATTATGCAACTAAATGAAAAACAAAAATTTGCCCATCTTATTTATTTGCATCTGTTAATGCAATGCAAGAATAATAAACAAACTCAAAACCTACAAATAAGCATTTCTGACATTTCAAAAAAAAAAAAAAAACACTGACCAATATAGTCACCCTTCTTTTCAATAACAGTCATAAGCCATTCATGGAGTCTGTCAGTTTCTTGATCTGTTGATGATCAACTTTTTGGGCAGCAGCAACCACAGCCTCCCAGACACTGTTCAGAGAGGTGTACTGTTTTCTTTCACCGTAAATCTCCCATTTAAGAAGGGCCCAAGTTCTCAATAGGGTTTAGGTCAGGTGAGGAAGGAGGTCATGTCCTTATTCTTTCATCTTTAAGGCCTTTGCTGGCTAGCCACACAGTGGAGTACTTTGATGCATGCGATGGAGCATTGTCCTGCATAAAAATCACGGTGGTCTTGGAAGATGCAGACTTTTTCCCGTACTGCTGCTTGAAGAAAGTGTCTTCTAAAAACTGGCAGTAAGTTTGGGAGTTGATTCAACCCCAAAAGGTCCAACTAGCTCATTTTTAATAATACCAACCCATACTAGTACCCCACCTCCACATTGCTGGTGCCTGAGTTGAAGTGGAGCTCTGTGCCTGTTACTGATCCAGCCACAGGGCCATCCATCTGGTCCGTCAAGAGTCATTCTCATCTCATTAGTCCATAAAACCTTTGAAAAAAAGCTGTCTTCCAATATTTCTTGGCCCAGTCTTGCCATTTCAACTTATTTGTCTTATTCAGTGGTGGCTGGGTTTCAGCCTTCCTTACCTTAGCCATGTCTCTGAGCACTGAACACCTTGAACTTCTGGGCACTCCAGGTAGGTTGCAGTTCTGGAATATGACAGTACTGGAGGATAATGGGTCCCTGGTAGCTTCACGTTTGATTCTTCTCAAATCTTTGGCAATTAATATGCATCCTTTTTTCTCAACACATTTCTAGCGATCCTGTTGACTATTTGCAACAAAACCTTTGATGGCTCTGTGATCACGTCCCAATATCTTAGCAATTTCAAGAGTACTGCATCCCTCTGAAATAATTTTTACAATTTTTGACTTTTCAGAAACAGTTACACATCATCTGTTTTCCTGAGGAAAAGTAGTTGCCTAATAATTATGCACACCTTGATATAGGGTGTTAATCTCCTTAGGCCACACCCTCACTCATTACACAAATACACATTACCTGATATGCTTATCTCCAAAATACTTTTCAAGTTTATGCAGCTTAGAGGTGGAATATATGCATTAAAATTATATGGTCATATAATTTATATTGCCTAATAATTGTGCAAACACTGTATATTGCCCAAAATCAAACAATCTGAGTTTATCAAGCACTACAAAGTATGCAAAATTCTCAAACAAGACATGCAGATAAAATTCAACCCAGATCTCTTTTTCATATCTGGAAACCAAATCAGTTAGATCTGCATGCCTATTCTTTTATAAACTTGTACCTTCATTTGTTTCAACCCCTGCATGTATTTTGCTTCTACATTCTCAATTTCATCCTTTAATTCACTGATATTCTAAGGAAAATTGCAAAATGTTATGAAAAATAAAACAATGGAAAACTCGGTGTAATAAAAAGGAGGATTCCATGCCTTTATTATGTTATTAGTAATTTATGCCTCTGCTCTACAAGCTACACTGGCCACTGGTTTGCTTCCGGGTGCAATTCATGGTGTTGATTTAAAACCCTGCATAGCATGGGTCCAGATAACCTGAGGAATCATCTCATCCCACCAGGAATGCCCCACCCATCCACACTGCAACTCACATCCGTCCTGGCTGGACTGATTTGAAAACTGGGGCATGGCAGGGCGGAGCTTCAGTTTAACGCAGACTCAGTCCAACAGAGCAGGAACTGAACATACCCAATCTATCTGGACTCTCAGAGCCACAGATAGAAAAAGACATGCTGTGGGGCCCATCAGGCAAGGAATTCCAGCTGGTGGGGTTCAGGAGAAGGGACTTGTCTAATTTGGCTTCTGTCCTTTGCAACATCTTACTGCCTGAAGTGAGAATGGCTCCCACCCTTCTTATCTTTTGCAAGAGCATCAAAACCTAGCTCTAGGAGATGCTTGGGGCTCTAATGCGGAAGCATCATACTGGAGGTGGTTGATGAGTTAAAAGGCAATCTCACCTTTTCTCCCAGGCATCCTCTTCCCTCCCTCCACATCTTTTAACTATAATTTTGTTTTGAATGTGATTTCTATTTGTATTATTTTAGAAATATTTATGTTAGAGTTTTAATGTTATAAGCCAGCCAAAGTTCTTCTGATAGAAGAAGGGTGGCAAACAAATTTAATAAATAAATAAATTCATTCATTCTTAGAGGGAAAATAAGATGCTCTGAAAAATGAAATAATAATGGCCCGAACAGAAATAATATCATAGAGAAATAAAAACCAGTGTGGTTGCACAAAGAGCTCTCTGAGAAATTGAGGGACAAAAAAGACCATCAGCAAATAGACCAAATCTACAAATATGGAGTCAGGAAAGCTGCCTAGAATGAGCTAACTAATGCCAAAATAACAAAAAAAAAATTCTTTTGATATGTAAGAACAAGAAGGAAGTCAAGAAAACAATAGGTCCACCAATGGGAGCAGGTGGCAAGAAGATGACAGGCAGCAGGGAAATAGCAGAACTGCTTAATTCCTTCTCTGCATCTGTCTTTATGCAGAAGGAAGCACAAGCCCAACCTATCAAAAGCAATACCAAGGGAAATAGAACAGGAATGCAAAATAGGCAAGGAATTGTTAAGACAACACCTATCCACCCTGTACAAGTACAAATCACTTGGACCCAATGGTGTACCATCCCAGGGTTCTGAAGGAATTGGCACATGTGATTTCAGAACTAATGAATGTAATTCTTTCCAAGCACTGGGGAACTATGAGAAGACTGAAAAAGAGCTGATGTGGTTTCCAATCTCCAAGAAACTATAAGCCAATCAGTGGATATCAATATCTGAGAAAACACTGAAAAAGAAAATCAAGTGATAGATTCATGAGGACCTAGAAATGAATGAAGCAATTACTAGAAGCCAGCATGGGTTTTGTTAAAACAGATCATGCAAGGCAAACCTTACTGCTTTTTTTGATAGTGACTAAATTAATGGACTAGGGAAATGCTACTGACATAGCATACATGGACTTCGGTAAAACTTTGACAAAGTAGACAACTTTGTCTACCTCTAGATTAGATAGAATGATGTGGGATAGAAAATACATCACTAGATGGATTCAAAGTTGACCCACTGCACCCAACATGTAGTCTTCAGTGGAACATCTACATGAAGGGAAGCATGAAGTGAGGTACCACAAGGTTCTGTCTAGGTTAGTGCTCTTCAGCATCTTCATAAGTGATCTAGATGAGAAGGCAGAAGGGGAACTCATCAAATTTGCAAATGACATCGAGCTGGAAAGAATTGCTAGAAGATAAGACTCAAGATTCAGAATGATCTTGACAGACTTGAGCATTGGGCCCTATCCAACAAGATGCAATTCAATAATGAGAAAAATAATGTCCTGCACTTAGGGAGAAAAAACAAATATATAGATATAGAAATGGCAGCATCTGGCTCAACTGATAGTATCTGAGAGAGGGATCTGTTGGACCACTAATTCAAATATAAACCAAGAGTGTGCTGCAGCTATCAAAAAAACCCAATGGGTCAACAGGGAATAGTATCAAAATGATGAGAAATGATAGTACCATTTTACACTGCACTAACAAGGACATACTTTGAACACTGCAGTCAGTTCTGGTCTCCACAATACAACAAAGAAGTTGAATTCATAGAAAGTGTGCAGAGAAGAGCAACAAATACAATAAGGGGTCTGGAGGCTAAACCTTATGATGAACAGTTAAGGGAACTAGATAGGTCTAGCTATCAAACAATTAATGCTGACCTGATAGATGTTTTCCTGTACTTGAGGGACTATCACAGAGAAAAGGGGGGTCAAATTATTCTCCAAAACACCAGAAGGCAGGATAAGAAGCAGTGGGTGGAAGCTCATTAAAGAGAGATCCAACCTAGAACTAAAGAGATATTTTCTAAGAGTGAGAACAATTAATCAATGGAACAGCTTGCATCCCAAAGCTGTGAGTGCCCCATCACTGGAGGTTTTTAAGCATTGACTGGGCAACATTTATTCAGGATTGTATAAGGTCTCCTGCCTTGAGCTGGGGCGCTAGAAGACCCTTGCAGCCCTATGATTCTATGTTTCTAAGCTAGGGAAAATATGATATGACTCTTCTTTACTGTGTTTAGACCTCACTTTTATATGGAACAGACCCCAAATTGTGATCAGATCCTGCACTAGAAACCAAACAAAGACTTTCAGCATTAAAAAAGACCTTACCTTAATTTCTCTAATAGATGCTTCCGTATCAATTGAGATAGAAGTATCCCCACTGCCTCGGCGAGAAGAGGTTCCACCTAGGGAGGCTACGGTAGCTGCTGACAAGCTTGATGCAGTTCGGATTCCCTGCAATTACACGCATGCACACACACAATATATATATAAGTGATATTTACAAGACAGTTTATTATAAATTTTTATAGATACTCTTTGAGTTTTGACCATAATGAAGCCTTTGAAAGTAGGAACAATTTTAAATGAATTTGCCTCATGTAACTACCAGCCATTCCTGCTCTCCCCAGTGTATTAGTTAAACAAATGTACAAGTCCTTAAGTAAAGTTCAGGGGTGGGGGGGAACCTGGGAAGCCTAGTGCAGGCACAGGCCCATCTGTCTCAGGCCTCCCAAGGTCTCCCTCACCCCAAGATACCGCATGCTCTGCGTCCCGTCCTTTGTGTGCCTTGCATGCTTTGATAGCAGCATGCCATAAAGAAGGGGGGGGGGGGGATAGGAGGATATAGGGAGAGGGGATGACAGGAAACAGAATGCCCACCAGAGAGAATGGTTGAAAGATCTAAGGACATTGCCCTGGAGGTAGAATGCAAACACCCACCAAAGAGGCACTAAACTTTAGAACTGTTACCAAAACACCTAATTTGAACCTTATTGGACACTACCAAGATGATCAAGGAAGAGGAAAATCTGAGAGAAGGGAAAATCACCAGGTTTATGAAGGAAATCTTAGACTTGGCTTTGCTTACATTGTAAACACTTGTTTTTGGTAAAAGTGTGCATTTCACTACAAATGGAGTTGAGGGTCTTTGTTTCTTAAATACAATGCCCAAGCTGGGATAGGCTTGACATTATTGCAGATCTGCAATAATGAGCCACCAGAAACCTTCATCTACCATGGGGACTATGTACAGAATATCAACTCATGAGAATGAGGAGGAGGAGGAGGAGGAGATAGAAACCTGGGAAGAAGCCACTTCAAGACCTAGAAGCAATGAACTGATGAACCAACCAACACACTGTATGTATATATGGAAGAGAGTTGATGTTTTTATGTCTTGTTTGTTTTGTTTGTTTATAAAAAATCAATACAATTGTTTTTTTTTTAAAAAAAAAAAAGACCTAGAAGCAATGGGAACTACTCCGAATTGGGGGAAGGAGTAGAGCCCTGGTGGTCCATAGGGATCAGAAAGATGAAAGAGTGGGAAGAAACACCCTTAACTTTCACCCAGGGGAGTCGAAGAAGCCACCACAAAACACCATGCGTTGAAAAGGAGTGCAGAGCAGTGGAGGTTGAGTCAAACCCACATGAGGTCATATTCGAATAGGCTGTCAAGGCCCAAGATGCCTAAGAGTGGCTAGCACTACCAAAGCTCAACTGACTGCGGCAGCACCTGCACCAGCCGCAGCTCTGGCCATTGCTCCACCAGCTCCAGCACAGCAGCCAGGGGTGACCCAACCGATCCAGCAACCCCCTCCTTCTTGGCTGACCCTTTCCAGAGAAGAGACCACCAGCTCTGGCGGTGAAATTTAACAGCAACCCAAAACAGCTGGCATTCCTCCTCACCCAATTGTGGAACTACATACAAGAATATTATATCATGGCCCTGGAGGGAGAAGCAGCTGAGTGGATGCTAACCTTCCAGGATGATGATGCGGTGTAGCTATGCAACTTCGACAGGTTCATGGCTGCCCTGAGGAAGCGGTTCAAGGATACACTTGCCAAGAAAAAAGGCCAGAATCCAAATCAAAAGCATCAAGCAAGGGAGGTGACCTATTGCCACCTATATTCAAGAGTTCTGGAGCCTGGCCTGAAGACTAAAAGACTGGCTCTAAAACATGCTGATTGAGAGTTTTCAAGGTGGTCTAAACAATGAAGTCTTCTACACCTGCTTATCCTGAGGCACACCGCAAACTCTCCAGGGATGGTACGTATTAAATGCAATCTGCATTGAGAACGTCTACCCCTTGCTACCAATGAAAGACAAGGTAGTCCACCTAGCCAAAGGAAATATATTTACCAAACTAGACCTGAGGGAAGTGCATATATATTAAGGAGGGGGATAAGTGGAAAACAATCTTCAATTGCCTGTTGGGGTACTTCCAATTCCAAGTTCGGCCCTTTGGGTTACATGGACCACCTGCAGTCTCTATGCAATTCATTAATGAAGTCCTGAATAAGCACTATGTAGTTTACCTAGATGACATTCTAATTTACACTGAAACTATAGAGGAACATGTGAGACTGGTCAGAGCAGTGCTAAACAAACTCTGCACCAAAACTCTCCATGTGTGAATTCCACAAAGACAAAATTGACTTTTTAGGGAATCATATTTCACATGAGGGAGTGGAGATGGACCCAGAAAAGATACAAGCAGTACTAGAATGGGGGATCCCGCACACCTGAAAATAGCTCCAAAGTTTCCTTGGGTTTGCCAATTCCTTTTGGCAATTCATCCCATCTTTTGCCCAAATAATACTCCCCATTACAAATCTCCTAAAATGAAAAGGAGAGGGGAAACCCAAACCAAGCCAGCCCCTTAAATAGAACATGGAAATGGCTTTCAAAAAACGTAAATATTTATACGTTGTTGAACCTGTCCTCAAACACCCCATTTGTTATTCAAGCTGATGCTAGTGCTATGATGGTTGGGACTATCCTGCTCCAGAAAAATGTCCAGGATACTCTATAACCATATGCCTACACCTCTAACTAAAGGGAGAGTATGGGAGTGCAGTCTAGGAAAAAGAAGTGTACACAGTGAGGTGGGCAACTCTTACTTGGAGACACTTTCCAGAAGGCAGTAAATCCCTTTCAAAGTGTGGACAGATTATAAAAATCTAGAGAGTTTGTAAGCTGTCCCCAAAGCAAGTGTGGTGGGCCCAATACTTCACTCACTTCAACTTCACACTACGATACTTCCTGGAGGGAAAAACTTTCTGGTGGATACCCTCTCGTGATTACCCCAATATAATAGCGCAAAAGGGGAAGTCATAAGCCCAGTTATCCCTTCTAACCAGCTGGTGGCCCCCGCCAGCCACCAGAGCACAGAAAAAAAATCTTCCCCCCCATCAGATGGTTGACAACTTGCTAATAGTGCTAAAGGAGTCCTTGACCGAATATGAATGGTTAAAAACCATCAAACGAACTACAATATGCCTGATGGTCTTGCCTGGGTTGGGGATACACTCTATGTGCTTGAAAGCAAAGGTTACCCTAAACCTACAAAGGAGCCACGACTCCAAAACAAATGGGGCATTTCAATATTGTAAAAACACTCCATCTAGTAAAGCATCAATTCCGGTGGCCTTCCCTAAAGAAAGGCATTGAACACTATTTCATAGCTGCCCCAAGTGCTCCTTGGAGAAAGGCAACCAGGGAAAACTCCTGGTCTCTTACAACCAATGGCGAACCCCAGAGCTCCATGTAAAGAAATCTTTATAGTGGGGCTGCTAGAAAGCTCAGAAAATACAGTGATTTGGGTGTCATTGACCTCTTTTCCAAACAGGTGCACTTCATACTGCGCTCCAAAATCCCATCAGGGGTTGAAACTTGAAATTTGGCAAGTATGTTCATCTTGGCTTCTAGATGCTCACTAAGAAAGGATTTTTCGAAATGACCATCAGAGCATTAGTATTTCGTATATTATTATTATTAGCACACTCTGATGCTAAGGAGTTCTACTTGCCCTTCCCACCTGAAAAGAACTTTGTTCCAACTGCCAGTTGCCTCACATTTCGTTACCTTAGTAACTTCACAGCCATTTGCACCACTCAGGTGACCTGAGGACAACCTCCAAGTTGCCTCAATGACTCTCTAAAAGGATGCAAACTACACTTCCAAACAGGAAGCTATTTTGGCATCAAAGGTTGTAGTAATTTTATTACCCACCATCCAGTCAGAGCTGAAGAAGCTCCTT